GGCGCTGATTGGCCTGATTTACTCAATAATTACTCCTTTATTATAAATAATAGAAAAAAATGGTTCAGGACTTTTTGACTCAGTTTTATTCCTTCTATCTGCCTACGAGAGATTGTACGGCTATTCTGGGACACCCTGTATATATATTAGGTCTACCGGAAAGTTCTGTCCGTTTTTTGGAATAAAACCGGGGACTTATACTGGTATTTTACCGATATTTTTGGGTAATACTATGAAAACCCTTATGCAAACGGAAATGCAGAAATACCGGTATGACATCATACCGGTATATTTACCGATAATTTTTTCGTGATTTTTTTAAAGTAATATCTTAAAACTATAAGTGTTGTCATTATGTTGATAACACTTTATAATAATATAATGTTTATAAAAAAAACTGCCGCACAGAAACTTAATATTATTTAAATTATTATTATTGTTTTATATAATTAAGAACAGTAACAATAATTAATATAATTAAGAACAGTAACAAAATACACATGGACATATTTATCAATATCCAAATTTGTTAAAAATTTCACTTTACATTAGTCATGATACGTAATAAAAGAAAGCACGAATGAAACAGCTGCTTCAATTGGTTTATAAAAAAAAAGCGTCTTTATATTTTGTCGGTCTATAAGTCCAATAAGCGGTAGGAAGATTAATTATGCAACAAAAATTGCTTTAATTAACTTATCTAATTTTTAAGAATACCATTAGTAGGAATACCGAAATAATAACCGGTATTTTATTACGGTTTTCGGTACTATAACGGTAACGGTATACAATCTCTAGTACAATACCGGTATTGAAAATCATACCGGTAATAAGTCCCTGAATAAAAAAAAATACAAATTTGTCTTACCGTCAATAAACTTTATTAAACAACATAATTGCCATTGTTATTAATGATTTCTTGCCAGCGCAAGGGCAATTTGTATATCCCATTTTTGAAAATTTAAGAAAAATTTGTGTATTTTGTTTTATTCCACAAAAACGGACAGAACTTTCCGGTAGACCTGATGTATATCGGATAGTCTAAAACCACAAAAACACTTGACGCAAATAGATATTATTTTATATATATGATATATTTATTTGAGACTTATATATATAAGTTTTTGAATTGTGTTTGTCAACGCGATCAAAAATTTTTTCTACGTGACGCGTTTCATTCCATCGTTAACCCTTTCGATATAGTCGGGACTTAGCCGCGCGTGTGCGTAATTTATATAGAAATTTTGCCGCGTTATTGTTTTTTTAAAAATTAAACGTTGAGAATATTTATGATACAATTCAAACCAAAGTGAGTCACGTTCATTAGAATATTTGTCTCAAAATATGAGCGCAATGCGTCGACTATTATAAATCAACCGTGTGTCAAAAGGGTTAACGTAAGAATGGCACGCACGTTTGCGCGCTCTTAACAGTGTTAAAAAAAAAAAATTTATCTCTTTCGAAGTTCGCCAGGATGGAATGTAACGAGTGTGTAATTACGATTGGAGTGGTTTCTGAAGAATCGACTGAGCTCTCCTGTGATACGCAGATGTCACTATAATTTCGTAATAAACGTTTGTATTGAAAAACACATATATATATATGTATGTATGTATGTATATTGCAGCGTATATATATTCGCGTTTAATACTTTCTCTTCCCAACTTTGATCCCGAGGTATAGCTACGACGATAACGATAAACAAATCACGACGAAAGGAAAGCTCAGATGGATTTTTGCCATCTTGTCGAAATTGGCGACATTGGTGTTGACGAGTTATGATCGGTTAGTATTATAAATACACACACACACACACACACGCTTAACTGACGGAATTGATTTTACAAAAAAAAAAAAAAAAAAAAAAAAAAAAAATACAGTCCATCGTGTGCTCGCCAAACGTGTGATAAAAAAAAAAAAAAGAGAGAGGCCGAAGGAAAAAAAGACACTTGCCGTTAAGTAAAAATTCAAAATCGCGCGTACACACACACACGACAAGCGTAACTTATATATGCATAAATAAAAATTACACAAGAACTACAACTTAATAAAATGCAATATACGTAACATGTTGCGCGATACGTAGCGAGCGGTTGGTATGTGAACTCTTGTTGACATGTAATAATGTCCATATGTTCTCTAATAAAGATTTAGGATATTTTATATAAAAAAAAAAAAAAACAAAACAAAAAGTAATAACAATGCTTGTTGCATTTGCGTAACAATCTAATATATATATATATCATAAACAATTAAAACTAATAATAAAACAATTATAATTGAGTATTTTTAAAACATTTAATACTTATACATGTACGAGATATGTATATATGTAGGTATGTGCGAGAAGAATGCGAGACTTGTGTATTTCATATTGTACATATGTGCGGACTAGAAAACGTGAATATACATAAAGCGCTGAGAGACGAGTTTTACAACACATCGATGTGTAATATAAATCACAATCAACAATACAGCAGAGAACACCATATCGTGCGGCTCCAGGGGAAATATTTCTCGGAAATTTCTTTTCTCTACCCTGATAGGCACATTTGTGAAAATATTGCACAATAATGGCATCATGAATGGCGACGATTTTGCAACGATTGCACCAAGATGATTCGCCGTAACGCAACAGTTTTGTCAAAATAAAATTTTGTAAATAATATTTGTCAAAAATTGCGAAAAAGTCGTTACGCGTTTTCACAGTACATACCTCCGATAGGCGAATTGTGAAAATATTGCACAAATATGACGTCATGAGTGACGACGATTTCTTGCATTTCTTCGTACGCAATCATATTTCTACATATTTGAAACATCACATAGCTAGAATTTCTTTTCTCAATTATTGGACAATTTCTTTGTGAAATTAATTTTGCAAATATACCGCTAAGATGATTCGCCATATCGTTGTTCTTTTGCCGAAATAGGATTTTGGAAAGTAATTTTGCAAACAACTACAAATATTTCAGAAAAGATCAATGTTTTTGCATCTATTTCCTAAAATATGTCTGTATAATTGCAAATTACAATTTTAGCGCAAGATTTCGTCGCATAATTTTGTAAATGGTTTCCTATCAGGGTAGCTGCTCTTATTGCTGCGCGCTGTTCTTCTTCGATCTCGGGTCGCTGGCGGAGAAAGAGAACGGCGCGCGATAGTAGAAGCAGCCAAAGGAGAAATTCCTGAAAAATACTTCTTCTTCCCCTGGAGCCGCACGATATGGTGCTCCCTACCGCACATAATTATGCTGCCAGGTAAGGTACGTATTCTAGAATTGCTATGTGACTTCGCTCAATTATTTTCTTACAAATAATTAGTTACATCTTATCTTTACCAAGGTTTTGAATTAGTTACGGACTGTTGTGTATATTCTCTCATTATTTTCAGAAAATATTAAACACTGGAGGCTGGTCCATTAAACTTTAAACTTGAAAAACGTTCAAAGCTTAATGGACCCTGATAGCCAAGCTTGTTTTGCAAAATCATGTAACTTCCCAGATAGTCAACTGAATGCAAGTTGTTGGCAACTTGCCACAAATATTACTCGTATGTTTTCAGCAATGTAACAAAAGAGTGTATCCTCTTTTCAGTATGTTCTTGCCAGCAACAGTTTTCAAAATATAATAACAGCAAGTTTCCAACAACTCATCGGCAATAAACTTATATTATTTTTCTCAACTTACGAATAAAAATTATTGCCCATATATTGCTCACATATTGCTGACTCACATGTCCTAAACATTGGCGCTACAACAATTGATTGATAATAAAACTCAGCATATTGATACCGAATTGACAAAAACATTTTCGTTGCGTTAAATAAAAACAACACAACAGCAATTGGCGAGCAACTTAATCTATACAATGATTTGCTTTATATTGAGTTTTCACATTTGGCTATCTGGGTATTTGTCCGTTTCCGACATATTGTATTTTTGCTGAAATTTATGACGCGTGTTGTTGGCAACTTGTTGTCACGTTGCTCTTTATGTTAAGTGATCAACCGTTGACAGCAAATACACAGCAAGTTGTCGGCAACACAATGTTGAATACGTGTCATGTCCAAATCAAAGACAAAATGCCTGACTCACCTTGTTCTAAATTTGCTGAAAACTCAAGCGTTTTGTTTTCGGCAACATGACAGCAAAAACACAGACAGGTGGCTATCAGCCCGAAAAAAAATGGATTAGATCTAACTTAAATTTAACGAGATAAAAAAATGGAAAAATAGATCTAATTAGATCCAAATTAAATCTAAATAGATATAAAGTAGATCTAAATACATATAAACACATCTATTCAATTTACACTTTTATATATTATT